ACACGTATCACTGAGAGTACAAACCATGCCTCTCTGAGGAGTCATCGGGAACTTGATATGTAGTGTACTTCTGAAGAATCTTAGGCTCATAGTACCACAAGTTCAATCTGTTTAGCTCTATTTGAAGTTTATAAATGTGGGTAAAGATATTATGTACGAAGCTTAATCTAACATTTTTTTCCGTGATCAGAAATGTCTAAGTACCATTCAGCTGTAGGGAAATGTTCAATAAATCACGATAAGTTCCATGTGGACCACTGAGCAGGAAAAAACCTTTCAGGTAAGTTTCCAGGGCTGAACCCCATAGGGACTCGCTCTGACTGGGACTGGCGCGGGCGCGCATGCGCGGCCCGGGGGGCGGGGGGCCTTGGGCGTCTCCCCTCGCGCCGAAGCCACGCCCACCTCGCCCGCACGTGATCAGCGAGCCAGGCTGTACCCACTGAGCGGTCCTGCCCGGAGGCCAAGCCTCCAGGCTCCTGCAGTGCGACCTCGGTGACCCCGAGCCCCGAGGTGCACGGGCTGGGCTGGCGTGACCTGTGCGGCGGCGAGGCGTGCGGGGAGGAGCCGCCCCGAGGCGGGACGCGAGTGCGAGGGAAGTGAGTGCGGGCCGTGCGCCGGGCCGCGTGGGGGGAGAGGGGGACGGGACCCGGGCACCCCAGGCTGCGGCCACGCACACCCACCCCCCTGGCCGGCACGCTCGCCCGGCCTCAGCGCGCCCAGAGCTGCTGCGGGTTCGGAAAGTCTCCCGCTGCACTTGCACTCCGGGGATTTGGAACAGTTCCAGAAAGCGCCACCTGAGCTTGTTTTCCCAGAACCTGCTGGGGTGTTCGGGCTTGTGTTTTTCAGGCTTTCAGTGGGGAGGGGTTCAACTTTGGGGAGATGAAGATGAGGACATTGAGGATTTTATTTGTAGAGATGTCCGTATACTAGGTGAAGAAAGGAGATCGCGCATTTTTACAAATCGAGGTCACTTCTGTCCCTTAGGGATGGTCACAGCCACCATTGCTATTGGTATGTTGACATTATTATTATTATTATTATTACTTACTTACTTACTTACTTACTTACTTACTTTGGGACTAGTTAGTAGGCTGGCCTCGCTTCATTGTGTAGTTTTGGGTAATCTTGAAAGTCTCATCCTCCTGCCTCTGCCTCCCTACTGCTGTTGTTACAGGCTAGTGCCCCCACAGCCAGCATTATTATTTTTTTAATTTTTCCGTTTTCCCACTGTTATATTTTTGGTTTTGGTAGCTTTATTTTCTAAATCATTTCACACTTGATTTCATATATAATATTTAAAGCCAAACTCACTTGTATTTGGAAAAATGAATATTAAACGAGGTTTTATTTGAACACATTTGGTGCCTGGCACCGTCTTGCGTACTTTGGTTAGAGATGAGCATTATGGGCGAGGTGCCTACTTCTTTGTGCGTTAAGAGGGACTCTTGGTCACTGGAGGTGGGACTGTACACAGGTGCTGCCAGTGTAGAAATCAGTACGAGGGTTTCTCAAGAGACTAACATATGACCTACCCAAACAACTTCTTACGTACGGAAAGGTCGAAGTCCCAACACAGAGATGCACACACATCTGTGCATGCTACTATATATTACAAGAAAAGGAACCATGCTAGATGCCTGTCATCAGATAAAGGGATTTCCAAAGTCGGTGCTTGCACACAATAGACTTGTACTTTGCCTTAAAGAAAAATGAAATCTTGACATTTGTAGGAAAATGATGGAACTAGAGATGACCCCATTAGGTGAAATGAGCCAGACTCAGACAAAAACTGGGTTTCTCTCATGTGGAGAGAACTTGGTTAACTTGGTTAACAAATTTGAATTAGTTAAATTTGTTCTTTGACAATTCTATACCTGTGCATAATGCATTCTGACTGCTTTCTCTCCTTAGTCTTTCTTCACTACCCACCCCCCACCCACTGTATCCCCTCCCCTCACTTTCCATGCAAAACTTTTCCCTACCTTCATGTCTTTTTGCTTTATGATCCCCTGAGAGGTTTTTTTTTTTTTTTTTTTGTTTGTTTTTTAACCAGGATCTTCTATGTGGCCATTGATTTAAAAGGATTCATCTGAGCCTAGTGGCTCAGCTGTGGATACACAACTGAAGAGTGATAGAGTGATTTTCTCTCTCTCTGTCCACCCCCCAGAATCTCCCATTGGCCAATAGCTCAGAACTAAGAAGTAGTGCCTCAGGCAAAGCTCCCTGATCCTTGATTTGACAGGACCAGTCTTATGCAGGCCCAGTGGCTGTGTTGTACCCAGCGGGTGGAATTTCAAAGCACTTGTCTGTCTGCTGCTTCTTGAATTCTTTTTGTTCCCTGTCCTACCATTGTTCCTTAAGCCTTAGAAGGGACGATGATATCAGCATCTTGCCTGGGACTGATTCCTCGGCTTTACTTCTTTCATAGGATCTTGAGTAGCCATGAGTCTCTGCAGTCACCATTGCTCATTGCAAAGAGAGGTTTCTCCAGGGCCGAGAGTACCATTTGTGTGTGGTAATGAGCATAGATACCTAGAAGGTCAGTTTGACACTTTGTCAATTAAGCTAAACAACAGTAGTTAAGAAGTTTTCCCCAAAGACCTACAACCTTTCCAGGCATGGCTTATGGACAGGTTTTTTTTTTCAGTACTGGGCATAGATTCCCTCCTGTGCAGCTGTCCACAAATCCGATCAGAGAGAGATTGATTATCTCCATAACAGTTGTGCCACTATTACACTGGTAGGTACATCTTACCTAGTTTCAGCTAGGTAAGACTTGTCTTTTCTCTCCAGCAGTCTTCATGGCACTATCTGACACAAAAGTTAGCCAGCAAGGAAGAGGTTTCCAGGTCAGTGCCAGCTTGATTTCTTTGTTTCTTAGAACCAAGAGGTGTAGAACCTTCAGCATTAGAGCCTTAATATCTTATCATCTAGTTCTGGTGGACAACCAAGGAATGGCAAGAGCCTGTGCTGTCTTGGGAGCCTCTGGGGTTTCTCTGACAATTCCTATGGAAGTGTGTGGTAGCTTGAGCGAGAATGGCGCTGATAGGTTCATATATTTGAATGCTTGGAACTCAGTTGGGAAGGATTAGGGAGTGTGGCCTTGTTAGAGGAAGTATGTCAATGAGGATTGGCTTTGAGGTTTCAAAAGCCCATGCCATTTCCAGTTAGCTCTTTCTCTGCCTCATGCCTGTGGATCAGTGCCATGCCTGCCTGCCTGCTGCCGTATTCTGCCGTCACAGTCATGGATTCTAACCTGGAACTGCAATGAAGTCTTCTATTAGTTTTCTTAGTCCTGGTGCCTTTTCATAATAGGAAAGTAACTTAAGGTAGGAGGTGCCCCACATCTAGCACTGAGATTTTTCCTCAGTAACTTGCTACCTCTAGGGTAGTATGAGTTAGTTGTACTAGTTATCTGCCTATGAAACTTTGATATTTTTCAGTTGGGTTTCCATACAGCTTTTGGTATACCATTTACTTTGGTTAACACTCCCCTTCCCTCATCTCCCCCACTCCAAGCTTAAACCCTTCTGCCCCAGTATTCCCCCATCTCTTCTATACATGGAGTAGCCCAAAAAACTCTACTCTCTTCTTCCCTAAAGTTTCCCTATTCCCAATGCCCCCTTTCCAGTTTCCTGCCTTCCATGGGTGTTCCAAGTTAAACACACAAAACTGAAGAGTTAAAGCTAGGATTCTCATCTTAATTATTGTGTGTGTGTGTGTGTGTGTGTGTTGGGGGGTGGTATGTGGGTCATGAAATTAAGGGGACCAAGATAAAGGAAAAAACTCAAGGGATGGGAAGAAAGTAATAGAATATGTATGACATGAGGCTGGAGAGATGGTTCAGTGGCTAAGAGAGCTGGCTGCTCTTCCAAAGGACCTGGGTTTGATCCCTAACACCCACATACCAGCTCATAACTGTCTATAACTCCAAATCCAGGACCCTCTTTGGGTCTCTGCAGACACTGCAAGCATGTAATACACAAACATGTATACAGACAAAACATTCATATGCTATACACACACATGCAAACACATATCTGTACTACACACACATATATGTGTATGTATGTGTGTTTGTGTGTGTGTTTATATGTATATATATATACTGTAGACACACATATTACACACACACATATATATGTATGTGTGTATATATATATATTGTAGACACACATGTACTACACATACAGGTGTATGTATATATCACATGACATGAAGGCACAAGGGTGTTATTTCCAGAGGGAAGGGATCCAGAGATCAGAGAGGAGTGGAAAATTCAAGAGGACAAACTGAAAATGTCTTGATGAAACCCATAACTATGCTAGTTCCATATAGTAAATCTAAAAATTAACCTTGGAATAAACAACAGGAACACCAAAGATTTGTGAAATGAAATCAATAAATAAATATTGATGAAATTTTAAAGGAGGAGTTAGACCATATATTTTTATGAGCTATAAAGAGGAATTTCTATTTTAAGCTTTTAAATTTTGTTTTTGGATTGTGTATGGTCTAACCAACTCTGTTTTCTTGGCATTTTGGTTTCCTCTCCTCAAATCTTTTGTGTATGGTTCAATCTATGACAAAGCCAGCTCTCAATACAGCCACATTTTGAATGAGACTGGGTTTTTTGTTTTTGTTTTTGTTTTTTTTTTCCCCCCACCAACAAGTCATGGCTCTGCCATGGAGGGAGCAGTTGACAGCTAAAAGTGGAAATGTTTTTTGAGTTGAGAAGACCAGGTTTGAAGTGAGGCTGGTTTTAGGCTTTGAAGATGAATCAAGTCTGTTGGGGTAGCAGGGGTGGCTGTGATCGGCAGAAGAGATACTGTTGTGTTTTCTGTTTCGTCATCTCCAAATTATCCCAGGTAACAAACTGTCCTTAAAAGTGGACATATAGGCACTTTTGTCCGGTTATCTTGTACGCGGACTTGGATCCCCCCCAGTTCCTAGGAAGGCAGATAACTTTGACTTGTTTGAAAATAGCACAGGCTGTTTTCCACTGCAGGAGGACCATGGTGAAGCTGATTCACACACTGGCAGATCACAGTGATGATGTCAGCTGCTGCGCCTTCTCATCATCCCTCTTGGCTACCTGCTCCTTGGACAAAACCATCCGCCTGTACTCCCTAAGTGACTTCATTGAACTGCCACATTCCCCATTGAAGTTTCACACTTATGCTGTCCACTGCTGCTGTTTCTCACCCTCGGGACACATTTTGGCATCATGTTCAACAGACGGTACCACGGTGCTGTGGAGTGCACACAGCGGACAGCCCCTGATGGTGATGGAGCAGCCAGGTGGCAGCCCTGTGCGTGTTTGCTGCTACTCCCCAGATCCCACTTACCTGGCCTCAGGGGCAGCTGATGGATCTGTTGTTTTGTGGAATGCACAATCATACAAATTATATAGGTATGGCTGTTTAAACTCTGCCTGGCTTGAATCCTGTTAAAATTAAGTTTTCTTTTTTTTATTGTGGTAAAATAGACGTACAGTTGACCATTGTAGTTGAAATTGTTAAGCACACTAGAAACCATAGCCTTCTTCATGATGACCCTGAAAATCATCTGATGGTGTGTCTGCAGAGCAGGAGGGCCACCTGGCCGGACCATTGCTCCTTTGTGGTCTCAGAGCTGAAGAAGTTGATGCTTTGAAGGGGTGGTAGAGGGTTAACCTAGTTCAACCAGGCAGTTCAGAATGCATGAAGTGTCTCTGTTTTATAGAAGTGGGCACCTGTGGTTAGCTAGCTAGGTTTGTGATTTCCACCTCTGTGGCCCAGCTTCCTTCCTGCATGTGATTATTCTACACTAATTGCAGAGTCCTTATCAGTTTGTTTTCCTACCTAAGGAACAGTGTTGCCAGGACAGCGTTTTTGCCTTCTCTTCCCAAGAGAATCACTGTTCACATGTTTTTTTCATAAAGAGTTTGTTTGAAGGTGAGGCACAAGGCCTTATTATTATCAAGTGGGATTTTTAATACAGAAGTTGAATGTACTTTTTATTATAATAGCTTGTCCTTTCAGCAAAAATCATTCTGTATATTTTAAATATGGCCATGGTTACTCTTGGTGTTTGTTTTATTTATTTATTTATTTATTTATTTATTTATTTATTTATTTTTATGTTTTGGGGTTTTAGTGTGCTCTTTTGAGTTGCAACGAGAATATAAAGATAGGAGGATTGTAGTGGCTGTGATCTCTGTGATCTGGGCTCTTATGTTTACCTCCTCCCTGTACTCTGTACAGAATATGTCCATTTGTAGCATCACTCGGTTTGTGGGCATCCTTCTCCCTCTCAGGTTCTGTCGTAGGCAGCTGTCATTTCAGAAGGGACTGTGATGTAAGAACCTCATCTCCTGTTTTGCTTTTGTTTCAGGTGTGGTACTGTCAAGGATGGCTCCTTGGTGGCCTGTGCATTCTCTCCTGAAGGAAACCTCCTTGTCACTGGCTCCTCTAGTGGAGATTTAACAGTGTGGGATGATCGAATGAGGTTTCTGCACACTGAGAAAGCTCATGACCTTGGAATCACCTGCTGTGCCTTTTCCCCACAGCCCCTTTCTGGTTGGTTAGCTCACCCTTTTAAGTATTGGATACCTGTTTGTAACTCCTCTGACTTTGCCCTTTGAGTTTCCATCTCATTGTTAGTATTGAGGGTCCTCCTGTCTATTATGCAATCATCATTTCACTCTCTTTTTTGATCAAAATGAACCTTGAAGAGCTATTATATGAAAAATTTGTCTTTATTTTTGTCTGTACAGGACAATTCTGCTTGTTACAATAGATTCAGATTTTTTTTAATATGGAATTTTCACAGACTTAACTGCTGCTTTTACTGTCTTTTTTTTTTTTAATTGAAATTGAGATAGAAATTGGAATTTTTTCTTTCTTTCTTTCTTTCTTTCTTTCTTTCTATTTATTTATTTATTTATTTATTTATTTATTTATTTATTTTGGTTTTTCGAGACAGTGTCTGTCTGTATAACATCCCTGGCTGTCCTGGAACTCACTCTGTAGACCAGGCTGGCCTCAAACTCAGAGATTGCCTGACTCTGCCTCAAAGGTTTGTGGCACCATCACCTGGCTTAGAAATGGTAGTTTTACAACTTGGGAAAGGGTTGGGGAGATAAAGTTGCTAAGGAACTTGCTGTGCAAGCCTGGTGACGTGTGGGTCTCCAGTACCACACCGTGATCCAGATGCATTGGTGCATGTGCTCCCAGAATCTCAGTACCAGGGAAGGAAAGCCCTGGCGTCCCTGGGGCTTTCGGACAGGAGCCTAACCTGATCAGCAGGGTCCAGAGTAATTGAGAGAGCTTGTCTCACAAACTGGGGGGGGGGGAACTAGTTGAAGAAAACACTTGATGTTGACCTCTGGCTCTTGTGTGCATGTACACATACAGATGTGCACATACCAAGTTGCAAATAGAAATAACACCTTTGCCCATGTATCTTTACTTACAAGCATTCGTTGCAAAGAGCTGTTGGTTGGGTTTGAGGCCACTGCTTTGCTCATTTTCATTGCCTGTTTTACAGGAGAAATTCTGCCTCTGCTCCCTCCTCTCTAGACTTGTCATCAGATCAGAGCCATCTGTGACAACAAGTAAATTAAACTCTTTCTGGTGGATGAATATATTCAAACCATTACCTATAATGTTGTTTGAATGATAACAGATACAAATTAATAAGCTATGGGTTGCATCACTTGGCTAAACCTTGATCTCCAAAAGTATTTACATCACAACAAAAATAATCTTATGGTTGGGGTCACCCCAAAGTGAGGAACTGTATTAAAGGGTTATAGCATTAGGAAGGTTGAGAACCGCTGCTTTAAATGAACCCTTTGAAAATGGGTTGCGTATCATGGGACTCAGCACCCACATGTGGCTGTCTGTGACACTGGCATCCTTGGCACAGAAAGAAGACAGAATAGCTTTGGCACCCCCTTATTCCTGAGTCCTATTCCTGAGTCAAGTACAATGAAGGTCAGATTTCAAATCCCCAAAGCACAATCTATAGGTCCCTTCCTAGTGTGCTGCACCTGACCCTAACTGAAAGTCAACCATGGCCCTATATATACATGCTCCTGCCACAATTTTAGTCTTTTGATGGTTGTTTTGTGCTATTTTATTCCCAGGATGCTTTATGATAGACAGGCTCTATTTTGTCCACTTTTGTGGTACCTTCTCCATATCTTTGAGGTACTCACTTGTTGGAAAAGTATTACAAAGAGTCATACTAAGTAGGCAAGGGGGTTTAAGAGCAAGCATAGCATGGTGGGAAGAACACTTAGTTTTTACTCTACAGCTGGATGTGGACTCTGTCTCACCCCTGAAGGAAAGGGCACCAGGTTTCAGGGGTGCCTGGCATCTGGAGGTTGTGCAAACAGTCACAAGACTTCACAAGGTGGAGGGCTAACCATTGTTGATAGGAAACATTGTTTTTCACACATTGAATCATGGATGGATTCTATAGATATGGAGGAATTTAGATTGATTTTTGTGCAATGGGATAATCTAAAAATAACATCATTGTTATTGTTCATCTCTCATTCTGTTGAATCTGTATCTCATCAGTTGGAGAATCAATCCCATCAATTTCTATATGTTGATCTTTATGTCATTTCATTTTATTGGGGCTGGAGAGCTTGCTCAATGGGGAAGTGTGCTTACTGCTCTTGAGGAGGACCCTGGGTTGGGTTTCTAACAGCCATGTAGGATGGCTGACAGGTACCCTGTGGGCACCTTACTCACATGCATTTATCCACACAGATGCTCATGTATGTATAATTAAAAATAAATACATTTTAAAGTTATTTCTTATTATGGGGGTGGGACATGCATGGTATATGGTAGAGGTCAGTAAAAACTGGAGTTGGTTCTAGGAACTGAACCCAACACATTGCTATTGTTATAAGGGAGGGTGCAGTGAAACCCCTGAACGGGACCACTCTGGGTGCATTGGAGGAACAGACTGCTGCTCTGCCCCTGAGAACAGAGGGTAGCTACATGGTGGGAAAGTACACAGATTTTTATATGACAGTCAGCAAGATGGAGATTTAGTCTAGTAGACACATGACAGAATTCTAAATTCTCTAAGAAAACATTATCCAGAGGCTTCTGAGATGCCAACTTGGTTTGATTAATGTTCCTAAACTGTGTAATATTTTCCATCAGATCATTTGAATTGATAAATTCTACATTTATATAATTCGAGTTTTCCTCTTGATCCTATCAATTGGAAAATAAATTCTCGCTATTATTCCATGTGCATTATTCCATCAGGCTTCTAAGAACTTGGTACCTCAGAAGGCAATTACATTGAGTGTTGATTAACCATTTAACATTCTTAAGATAACTGACTTTTCTAATATTTTTCATTAATGATAGCTTTATAATCTCTAAAATTCAGTTGGAAGATGTTCTGCTTTTGTGGTTTACTAGTGGTTTTTATAACTCTGAGCCATAGCCAAAAGGACGTTTTTAAACAGAAATTTCAGACTTAAGTTACAATCCTATATATGCCTATTTAGAAGAAATTCTGTAAGCATTTTATTAGAAGTGTTAGCGAACAAATATTCATTGTTTACATGGCATAGATGAGCCAAATTAGCAGATCTCAGCAGACCAATTCTTCATATTTGTTTATCTCACTTGATATTTTTAGGTGGAGAACAAGGCCTTCAGTTTTACCGACTGGCATCGTGTGGTCAGGACTATGAAATCAAACTCTGGGTTGTTTCTTTTACCCGTGTCTTAGGTATGTTTCAGCTGTCTAAAATTACTTGCGACCCACATTAGACTTTAATCTTTTTTATCTTAAGATAAAAAATCTGTTTTAAGAAACTTTTATTGAGTTGGGTGTTATGGCACACACTTAAAATCTGAGAGTTTAGGAGATGGAGGCGATACCAGCTTCAGCTATTGTACCCAGAGAAGGCCTGCCTGGGCTATGACAGACCCAGCCTCAAAAGCAAAGAGAAACTTGGATTGGATGTAAAAAGAAGCCTGTTGTCCATGTCTGGGTCTGACTACATCCTTCCTTGCCCACCTCCTTCCCTGCAGGAAACCACCCTGCACCTGATTTAGCTTTGACTCTTTGAGTGGTTTTCACACTCTTGCTAAGTGTTGTTTACATCACTTTTGTATATATATGCTGTGGCTGCTGTTTATTGATGTGAGTCTTCTTGTGCTCCATCTCATTGTCTCTGGTGGCCTTTCAGTCAGGACATGTTTGTGGTCCCACTTTCAGCCATGGTATCCCTTTATAGTGTCTCTCCAATGATTCTTTCTCCCATGTTCTTCCTGAACTTCGTCAGCTGGATGGTAGAACCCTTGAGTCAATTCTCCCTTCCCAGCCACACACACACATTCATCTCTCAGTCTGTTGAATCTGTATCTCATCAATTGGAGAATCAATCCCATCAATTTTTATATGTTGATCTTTATGTCATTTCATTTTATTGGAGCTGGAGAGCTTGCTCAATGGGGAAGTGTGCTTACTGCTCTTGAGGAGGACCCTGGGTTGGGTTTCTAACAGCCATGTAGGATGGCTGACAGGTACCCTGTGGGCACCTTACTTACATGCATTCATCCACACAAATGCTCATGTATGTATAATTAAACATAAATACATTTTAAAGTTATTTCTTATTATGGGGGTGGGACATGCATGGTATATGGTAGAGGTCAGTAAAAACTGGAGTTGGTTCTAGGAACTGAACCCAACACATCAGCCTTCTGTGGCAAGCACCTTTACCCCTGAGCCATCTCACTGGTCTTTTGCTTTCTTTTTATAGTTGGTTTTTAATGAAGGAGAGGAGGAAGAAATTTCCAAATTCCCTTCTGTTCTTACAACCTCTGGGCTTCACCTTTGCTTGCCTTTATCTTTGTCATTCGCGTTGTTACCTTCTTCAGGTGTCCAGTGACACGATATCTCTACATCTACAGATTTGACACAAGGCTCTCAGGAGCTCACTGCCCACAAGGCGTGTAGATGAAGAAGTGTGTTTGCCTTGTAGGGAAGGAGCTGAGATAGATGGATCTTGTCATTAGCCACTGTTTTCCTTATATAGGTTTCTCCTGGGGGAAGATCACCTGCCTTGGGCAGCATACTATGGGGTTGGGGCTGGGAGGGGATGAGGTAGACAGTGAGTGCTTCCTGCTCAGACTCTGAAGTTCTGTTTCTGACCTTGTTTATCTGGCTATTTGGCCCTATCTGGCAGGTTTTCCTGGTACTGAATATGTACTCTTCAGCCTTAGCCCCCCTGTACTGAACTCCGGTTGGGCTGTTTGTCTCTGAGCTGCCTGTTGACCTGTTTCAGTTTCTTTGGGGATGCCTTCTTCCCAAGCACTTCTGTATACATTGAAATCTTGATGAATTCATTATCATTTAAGAATTTTGAAGTTTTTTGGTCATATAACTTGCCTCAAAATGGGTTGTTATTTTTTTTTTTTTACCTAGTAAACTTTAGCTAGAATATACAAATTAGGGTCTTGTCATGAATTGTGCTAAAGTATAAGAAAGAGCATTATGAAGAAACAAGAGATGCTGTTCATATTGTTTACATGTGATGCCCTTTTCATTTAAACATGATGGGGAGAGTGAGACTTCTGTCTTCTCAAGTCTATCCAAGGTAATCCTTGCCTCTTTCTTCACTCAGGTAAAATTCCAGTAAGAAATACTGCCTATGTGTGGGCATCATAAATACAATTAGCTTGGAACTGTTCAAGAGGAAACACTGTGATAGATTGTAAACTATCTTTATACCACTCCTTTAGAAACATTGATGATGTCTTGAGTATGCATGGAAAGCTCTTCATACAGCAGCTATTACTGTTGGAGCCTTACTCTGCTTGATGGTATTATGGGGCACAGGCAGGCCAAGGTCCTGGACTTGAAGTCGCCTGTTTTGTGCAGCTAACTTTGTTCTGTTTGACTGGGGATGCAAGCCTTAAAAGTTCACCTCATGTATGGGATTCGTGGCTTTCTTAATGCTCTTCTCTACTCTCCCAAGTAAAGGTGTCCATTCTGCTTTGAGTGGGAAGTTTTTACTGCTCTTCTATAGAAGCTTCTTGTCTAGTTATATGTTTGATGTCTGACACCTCAGCAAAGATCTTAGGTCTTACCACCCGGTAACTTCTTATGCTTATTTTTACAAGTTGGCATCAGAACACACTGAATTCCGTCTGTTTACTTTTAAGAAAGTTGTTTATTTTCAGTAATTTTAGAGATTTTATTCCCTTTCTTTTTTCCATTTCTTTCAAGGCAGGGTTTCTCTGTGTAGCCCTGACTGTCCTAGAATTAGCTCTGTAAACCAGGCTGGCCTCGAACTCAGAGATCTACCTGCCTCTGCCTTCCAAGTGCTGGCATTAAAGGTGTTCGCCACCAGGCCTGGCAATGACTGGGCTTTCTAAGAGCACTGTAGATGTGTAGATTTATAAATGTATAAATACCATTGATTTATGTACAAGAAGACAAAATGTGTTAGTAAAGTCAGATTTTAAAAATATAAAGCACTTAGGCTTTTAGGCAGTTAACATTTTTCTTTTCTTTCTTTCTTTTTTTTTTTTTTAAATCTTACCAGGCACTAAAATTAAGCATATTTCACATACTTAAAATTTTTAGTGATTATAAAATTACTCTAGCCTAGTCTTTCCAGAGTACATCATTAAAAAAATAAATAAATCTGTCATTGGCTGCACCAATGGCACTTACTGGATTATAAGAAAAAAATCTGTTATTGAAGTGTATGTGTGTGTGTGTGTGTGTATACGTACTAGAGATGAGACTAAGGACTACATCCCCAGCTATTATTGAATTTTGAAACCACCTTGAGCCTGCATTATAATTATCTGGTGTCTGTATGGATACCCATGCTTTATGAAGATTTTTATGACTTTGTCTTTTTGTTACATTATTAAGTACATAAATCAGAAAGTGTTGAATTAAGACAAATGATGAGCATAATGAAGTTAACTAATATTCTCACCTTGTTAATTACAGGCCTTGAATTAAAATATAAAAGTACACTACGTGGGCACTGCGCCCCTGTTCTGACGTGTGCTTTCTCCCACGATGGACAGATGCTTGTGTCAGGGTAAGTGACCTATAACTACGCCATGGATGCTCCTGAGGCAGTTGTCTGTCATTGTCGTTTTGATACACCCAGCTGTTTATTGTGTGGGCATGTGCATGCCACAGTATGTGTATGGAGGTCAGAGCACAGCTTGCAGTAGTTGGCTCTCTCTTTCTACCATATGGGTTCCAGGGCTTGAACACAGGTCATCAGGCTTGATGGCAGTCATCTTTACCTGCTGAGCCATTCCACCAGCCCAGTGTTTTTTGCCTCCTGTCCTATACTTCATATTTTAGATCTTCTCAATTTTGACCATTGAATGGTATGGTGCTACCTTAGCATGCTTGGTTTGTGTTTCCCCTGAAACAATGAAGTTAGAACTTCACTGTGATATATCCCAGCAATGCATATTCCCCCCTGCATCTCAGGATGGTTGCAGGCGAATTACACTCATTTCCAATTTGAACCTTGCTTTGTTGCAGCAGACAAGTTGGACATATTTATATGGTGCATTGTGGTAGAGAAATTACTTTTCAGCCTCGCCATTTTGGATGTGATTCATATTTTTTTTTTTCTTCTAGAGGGTTTATAAAACTTTTAGTGTGTGGTTTTCTGACCATTCACTTTGTTATATCTACATGTGGGCTTAATTTTATCTTGCTAGGAGTTTTTTAGGAAACATATTTATGTATGCGAGGCAGGAGGCGTGCACTCTGTATGAAAGCAGAGGGCAACTGCAGGAGTGGGCTCTCCCCTTTCACTACATTGGTGCAGGGTTTTAACTCAGGTTCTCACATTGTCGGGCACAGAGACATTATTAAGTATGAAAGCTTAGCCTTAGCTTAGGTTTCCAACTAGCTTTTAAAACTTAAATTAACCTGTTTACATTAATCTGTGTTCTACCACTTAGCTTGTTACTTCTCCATCTCACTCCTTCTGTATCTCAAAGGCAAAATCTGCCTCTTTTCTTCCCAGATTTCCTGTCTCTGCCTGGAAGTTCTGCCTACCCTCTCCTGCCTAGCATTGAGCCATTCTGCTCTTTATGAAACCAATCAGAATGTGCTTTTCACACAGTATGCTCAAATATCCCAAAACATCCCCAGGCTTGGCAACAGGCACCTTTACCCACTAAGCCATTTTGCTGGGCCAGGAATGTTTCTTTTCTTTCTTTTTTCTTTTTTTTTTCTTTTTTCTTTTCTTTTTTTCTTTTTTCTCTTCAGACAAGGTCTCATGTGTAGTACTGGTTGGCTGGAACTTGCTGTGTAGATCAGGCTGGCCTTGAACTCTTGGTGGTCTCCTATCTGTACCTCCTGAATGCTGTGACTGCATAGTATGAACCACAGTGCCTAGCAATGCTACCAGTCCTTTTAGCTTCTTAAATCTGTGAAAGATTTTTCTACCCATTTTTGAACATTCTTATCTCTTCTGCTATTGCCCTTGTCCCTTTCTGTCTCTCCTCTAAGGCAAATTGTACCTCCTGACTATAAACATTATTACTTTTAGTCTTTTATATTTTTGTTTCTGTCTTCTAATTTTTTAATGCATTTTTATGTGTATGAGTGTTTTTCCTACCTATGTGTCTATGCACCACATATATGCCTGGTGCCCAAAGAAGCCAGAAGAGGGCGGGGGACTGGAGATAAAGCTGGTTGTGAATCACCCTGTAGGTGCTAGGAGTCAAACCCAGGTCTAAGAACAGCCAGTGTTCTTAACAGCTGAGCCATCTTTCCAGTCAGTTTCTCTCTTCTTATACTTCATTCTTGATTTCCCTTTTATCAGTACTCTCCAGCTACCATCCTACTTAAAGTTTATTTTAATTTTGTTTTGTTTAAATTTATTTTAATGTTTGTTTTTTTTTTTTGTTTTATGTGTATGAATGTGTTCCCCAAATGTATGTAAGTGTACCAAGTACATATGTCAAATGCCCTGGAGCTGGAGTTATGGATGTTTGTGATCTACCATGTGAGTACCAGGAATCAAACTCGAGTCCTATGGAAGAACAGCCAGTGCTCTTAGCTGCTGGATGGACCATCTCTCCTGCCCCTACTCTGCTACACTTAATGGTCCTCTGACATTTAATTTTGCTTAAATTGTGGTTCTGTAGTTTTTAGTTGGCTGCTTTTTAAGGCTTTTTTAAGTTTTATGATTTCCTGTTCTCAGTTGGAGCATTGCTTCTCAAAGCTTTATGTTATGAAATTTGATTTGAGCACACATGCTTGATTCAGTTGCTGTATAATATTTTTTCATAAAATCTTTATTATAGCTTGACAACTTAACCTATTTTCAAACAAAAGCAAAAGATATGATCCCTTTGTTGCTTAGACTTTTAAGAAATTCTTAGATACTTCCGTAAGAACGGGATCTATATTCCTTTGACATTAACTTTAAGATTTATTATTTATAATTCTATGTATGAGTATGACTTATGGGGGTGTGCATGTGAGTGTAGGAAGGTGTGTACATGTGGCTGTATGGGTTCTGGAAGCTGAACTCAAGTCCTCTGAAAGAGCAGAGTACCATCTCTCTGGCCCTCACTTGACATTAACTTTGTCTTCTCTTGGCAATGCTAGGGATCAAACTCAGAACCTTCCCCATGCTAGACAAGCACTCTCCCACTGAGCAGTATGCCATTGGTTTTTCCTATTGATGTTTCTTTAGAGTGGGGGAAGCCTTGTCTTACTGCCTAAATATTCTTGAACTTTAGTATGCACTATGTCCAGAGAAGTCTTCTGAGAAAATTCAGCCTTTTACCTCTGTTTATAATATCTGTTTTGATATGAAATGGCACAAGATTCTCTTATGTTCTATACTCAGTATTACAACTCCATAACTTTACAGGAGTCAGAATCTCTTCTTCAGTTTCCATGAGATCCGATTACTGCATCTATCTCTTTTCTTTCCTTCCCAAATATTGGGTACATACATGTGGTGCACGTGCGCGTGCTTACACACACACACACACACACACACACAAAATAAATAAATGTTTGCGGAAATTCAGTGTCTTTAACTAAAAAGAACAAACAGACTGGAGCAGCAGTAGGCGGGAAAGCAGAACCAAGCCCCACAGTGTTACTAACCCATACCCCGAAGTGTGTCAGGATGGTTCATCGTCTTCAGAGGCAGAACACAGGCTCTGACCTAACAGTGGATTATACATGGTGGATTTATACTATGTCAGTATTTCTGGGAGGTGGTAAAAGGGAGAGATGGGGCTTGGTTAGAAGAAGTAAGTCACAGGGGTGAGTTCTTGGGGGTCATGCTCTCCCTGACCTCTTCCTATAGCCCATTCTGTCAGCCTTTTGTCCACTACGGAATGAAGAGCAGCCTCCACCTCCTGCTATAGGCTTTCCCACAGGCACCAGTAATCTCAACCAGCAAACCCTCCTTCCTCTAAGTTGAAATACATAAAATGGAAAAACAGATTTATTTACAGTTTGGGCAAAAAGCTGGGGAGAGAACTCTGTCTCTGCTTCCCCACATCAGCATGACAATGTATGGAAAGAATGACAAATGATAGAAAATATGCAGATACCCGAGGTCTATCAGCCTTAAGCTGGTAGGGAAAAAACTGGGTTCCTATCCCACCTTCCAGGACAAGGAGTACAGCACCATCCCCCTCAACATGGCTCCCGTTATCTGGGTGGCATAGTCCACACCCTCAAGCCCACATTTGAGAGACAGCAGCAGGAGGATTGTCTAGTTTTAAGGCCCAAATAGTGCACAGTATGAGATCCTGTCTCAGATGAATCAGATGAATAAAATAAAGAAGTCCTAATTTTAAGGGAGCTCAGGTCATGCTAGAAGCTTTAGCTTCTGTGGCCCTAGGGAAGTGATGAGCGCTGCTGAAATGGTGGGTTGGCTCTCTTTCCAGCCAAGCAGGATGGGGCTTAGAGTCAGATCCACTTTAATGACACAAAAATGGTACCTTTCTGGATTATGAGTTTATGAACTAAAATATAATAGCTGAAAGCTTCAACAGTAAAAATACCCTGTTGAAAATGAAAAATATCATGTGTATGTATGTGTGTATATATATATATATATATACATATATATATGTGTGTGTGTGTGTGTGTGTTTATGTATGTATGTAATTCTTAATAAAAATATATGCTTGTATTATAAGCAATAAAAAGGCACAATTTGAGCTATAGAAAGTGTATCAGAGATATACAGATTCCAGCAGAATGACATACATTGTAAGAATAGATTCTACACAAGTGATTCTATAGGTAAAAGTCCTCTAGAAGGTTTGTAATGCATAGGAAAAAATTAATGCTTTTACTTTAATTTGCTTTTGCTACTATGACCAAATTATCTCCTTTTAAATATGTGTGTGTGTGTGTGTGTGTGTGTGTGTATGTATTCTATATGTGTGTTTAAATATACATCACTGCTGTTTTTTTGTTTTGGTTTTTGTTTCCCTTTTGGTGATAGTAGGAATTGAACTTAGGGCTCACACATACTCAGCGCACTCTCCACCACAGAGCTATTTATCTGTGTTCTTAGCTCTGTCATCAGTGCCTCTAAAACATGTCTACCACACATGCAGGCTTATCACAGCAACTCAGACTAAAGCCAAGGTATTTGGGCTCCTAAGCTCTGCTTAAAATATCTGGCCCTACCTGTTGATTCTTTCCCCCCAGATCTTCCAGTTTTTTTGATGAACAGTCAGCTAAATAGTCATGTTTGCCACCATTTCAGGTGTGTCTCGTTCATATTAAAGGATGAATATTGTTCATCATCAAAAAAATACAGAGCTGGGCGCTGTGGCACCATGATTGTAATTCCATCACTGCGAAACCTGCAATAGGAGGGTTGTGAGTTCAAAGCCAGCCTGGGGTTACAGAGGGAAAAAAAAAATTATCTTTTGACCCAGAATTTACAAAGGAGAGCTTGGAATTGAGTTTCCTTCTTTTGTCTGAGGAATAGGTTCATGAGCAGAGTGATTGTGCAAAATTGAACATATATGGCTGTCTTTGTTTTTTGTTTTTGTTTTTTTGAGACGGGGTTTCTCT